ATCCCTGTGGATTTGGGATGTTCCCCATTCCCACCTCCATGGTGTAGTTGGAGTGCTGGTTGTCGAAGATCAGGGGCCTCCTGCCCATCCCAGGATCCCTCCCTGCCCCTCTATGACCCCAGATCCCTGTGGGATGTTCCCAGATCCCTGTGGGATGTTCCCAGATCCCTGTGGGATGCTCCCAGATCCCTGTGGATTTGGGATGTTCCCCATTCCCACCTCCATGGTGTAGTTGGAGTGCTGGTTGTCGAAGATCAGGGGCCTCCTGCCCATCCCAGGATCCCTCCCTGCCCCTCCATGATCCCAGATCCCTGTGGGATGTTCCCAGATCCCTGTGGGATGTTCCCAGATCCCTGTGGGATGCTCCCAGATCCCTGTGGATTTGGGATGTTCCCCATTCCCACCTCCATGGTGTAGTTGGAGTGCTGGTTGTCGAAGATCAGGGCCTCCTGCACGAGCTGGTGCTGCTGCTCCAGGAGCTCCAGGTTGGGTTTGTACTCCACGATGTTCTGCTCGTACTCCTTCAGGTGGTTCAGCTGATCCTCCAGGGTCCCGTTCATCTCGATGGAGATCCGCCCGATTTCCTGGGAAAAGGCGCCACTCCAGCCCCGGATCCGGCCCCTCCCACCCCGGGACAACGCGGATACGGAACGTTCCGGGGCTGGTTCCACCATTCCCGGCTTTCCCACCGCCCCGGGAGTCTCCCCGGGGCGATCCCAGAGCCCAGAATTCCATCCTGGTTTTCCAGGAGAACGCCAGGACATCGGCACATCCAACCCCTTCCCAACCCTTTCTGACCCGGGATAACGTTGGACACGGCCCATCCCGGGGCCAGTTCCAGCATTCCCGGCTTTCCCACCGCCCCACTGAGTCTTCCCAGGTCCCAGAGCCCAGAATTCCATCCTGGTTTTCCAGGAGAACGCCAAGAGATCTGTGATTGACACATCCAACCCCTTCCCAACCCTTTCTGACCCGGGATAACGCGGATACGGAACACCCTGGGGCCAGTTCCGGCATTCCCGGCTTTCCCACCGCCCCACTGAGTCTTCCCAGGTCCCTGAGCCCAGAATTCCATCCTGGTTTTCCAGGAGAACGCCGGGAGATCGGCACATCCAACCCCTTCCCAACCCTTTCTGACCCGGGATAACACGGACACGGCCCATCCCGGGGCCAGTTCCACCATTCCCGGCTTTCCCAGAGCCCAGAATTCCATCCCAGTTTTCCAGGAGAACGCCAGGACATCGGTGACCGACACATCCAACCCCTTCCCAACCCTTTTTGACCCGGGATAACGTTGGACACGGCCCATCCTGGGGCCAGTTCCACCATTCCCGGCTTTCCCACCGCCCCACTGAGTCTCCCCAGGGTGATCCCAGAGCCCAGAATTCCATCCCAGTTTTCCAGGAGAACACCAAGAGGTCGGTGATTGACACATCCAACCCCTTCCCAGCCCTTTTTGACCCGGGATAACGTTGGACACGGCCCATCCCGGGGCCGATTCCACCATTCCCGGCTTTCCCAGAGCCCAGAATTCCATCCCAGTTTTCCAGGAGAACACCAGGAGATCGGTGACCGACACATCCAACCCCTTCCCAACCCTTTCTGACCCGGGATAACTTTGGACACGGCCCATCCCGGGGCCGGTTCCGGCATCCCCGGCCTCTCCCAGCCCCCGGCTCCGGCTGGATCCCGTTGGATCCCGTTGGATGATCCCTCACCTCCATCTTGGTCTGGATCCAGGGCCCCACCCTGTTGGCCTGGCTCCCGAACTGCCTCCGGAGGTGCTCGTTGGAATTCTGCCGGTTCTGCTCCTCCTGCAGCGCCTGGTCCCGCTTGGGAACCAGCTGCTGCACCTGGAACGCGGAAAACAGGGAAAAACCCATGGAAAACCGGGAAAAACCACGGGGAAAAACCACACTGGGAAGTCCCTGAGGGAAAACCGGGATGGGGTGGGGGAAACGCAAGGGAAAACCTGCCGGGAAAGCGGGAAGGGGTTGGGAAAGCTGGAGGGAAAACCAGGATGGGGTTGGGAAACTCCAGAGATTTCCAAGTGCAGGGACTTGGGAGTGAATTTGGGAAGGGGTTTGGGGGTGGAGGGGTTTGGG